AGTGTTGTTGTTGTGTCGTGCTTTCCCTTCCAATTTTTGTCGTGTTGAAACCCTAATGCAGTGTTCATAAAAGTTGTGGTCGTCACTGTTAATTTTTAAACTAGTTCCGGTATCATTCTCGTTTTATCTCATTCAAATCCACGTACAAAAGTAGCAAATGAGGGAGTGAGAGAGAGAGAGAACGAGAAAGAGAAAGCGAGAAAGGGAGAAGGAAAAAAAAATACTAACAATAAAAAGGAGAAGGCCACGATTGTTTGAGCCGATTTTAGTGCTCGAGAGATGTTCAATTGATTAAATCGCACATTCTGAGCTTGAGAGAAACTAAAGTGGTTCACTGGAGTCTTTCTTTGTGCGTGCTAAGCTAGATCGAGCATGTGGGTCGTCTGATAGCAAGGAGGAAGAAAAACCAAATGCTTCGCACATGAGCGGCTCTTTCCAGTGTTGAAGAAGTTATTTCTACATTAGGGGAAAAAATCTCAACCGAGCAATTTCAATTCTGGGAGCAGGAGTCGTGTCCTAGCTGATCAGCAAAGAAGAAGGAGAGCTGTTAGCAGTTTCTCCCTGTCACGCGGCTAGCAGGGATTACAATCAAGCTCCTTAAGCTCCTAGTCAAGGAACAACACGAAAAAGTAATTTCCTATGCATTTGAAATGCTCGACTAAGCATCTATATGTTTCACGTGCAAAAGAAAGGCAAGGCAGTGAAGGACTTGGAAGTCTGTTTGGCTTTAGGCAAGGAATTTAAAACCCACAATTAAGGATTTTTATTTAATTCTTAATGTGAAAGAAATTTCCTATAACTCCACAATTAAATTTATGAAATTTTGTTAAAAATTGTTTAGGGAAACTTAGGAAAAAGCGAAATAAAAAAAAATGAAAGAGCAATTACAAGTATAAGTCTAAATATTTATATTTAATTGCTAGTTTCATAGTTAATTAATTTTTTGGTAAATTAAAATTTTAAGAACCCTAAACACTAAATTTAAGGCGAGCATGCCAAAAGAAGTTTAGGAAAGCCTCCTAATTAATTATTTGAACATCAATTTATTTAATTCTGATACATTATTCTATAATATACTAATTGTTGACATAGTTTAACATTAATGAGAGGTTGCTAAAATACTTAAATTGAGATACCGTAAAGAAGAGAATTATAAACTTACATATGAAACAATAAATAATTGTTTAATTAAATAAAAAGCAAATGAAGATATCTAAGTATTTAGGTTAGAATTCATATGAAAGAAGAAATGAACTAATAAAATCAAAATTATTGTTATAAGTGAATCAAATGATTAGTTAATTTTGAGGGAAAGGTAATCCACTACAGACTGTACAGGTGGAAAAATATAATTTTGATTTTACAATAGATATTTTTATTTATGAAAGCAATTGCAAATGTTTTTACTGCTTCCAGTGCTTCTTTTAAAATGCAATTTCACATTTTTAAATGTTAAATAAAAGAAATATATAAAATATGATGTAAGCATGCATATAGTAAGTCACCCCCAGATGACACTTGTACATGATACAATGTAGTCGTGCACAAAAAATGAAAATAAAAATTAAAACGATTGCCTACATTTTTTTGGGTTTTGGAAAATGTTTAAGCGTATATTTTTTGTATGCGTTTATACAGTGACTCCCATTGATGAATATTATAACAAAAATAAATAAAAGTTAACAAAAAATTATTTTCTTTATTTTCTCTTTTTACTGCTTATTGTATTTTTACAAAATATTTTAAAATGAAAATTATAATTATTTAAAAAAAATTACTTAGTAATTTAACCATTAAATTTTAGAATTCAACGAAATTGTTTTAGTGAGATGAAAAGTGGGGTATAAATACCCTTACATGAATCCTATAATAGAAAAGAAAATAAAAAGTAAATAACATGAAAGAAATGATATAACTTCTATATCTCCAATTAATTAATTCATAATAATTACTTGGAGATAAAGAAAAGGACATAAAATAGGAAGCCTAAAATATGAAAAAAAATAAATCTAATCCAAGGAAATAAATCTAAAATATAAAGAAAATAAATTTAATCCCAGGAAATAAATATAATCCCCATAACTTCCTAAGAAATAAAATATTTCCTAATATAACTTCTAACACTCTCCCTCAAGTTGAAATATGGTTAAACACCATATTTAAGTTGGATTTGAAATTATCAAACAATAGACGAGGAAGATTTTTTGTAAAATAGAAGTTGAAGTCTTCATCTCGTACTTAGTAATCAACCCCATAAGGATTTAGAGATAAATTTAGTTGACTGTGATTGTCTTTGACTGTAGTTTCTGCAGTATCTGTAGGTAGACAGAAGACTTTTACAGGTAATGCTACAGGGAAGTTTGCAGAGGAACCTATACAAAAAATTAACTTCTAGTTGACTGCAGTTGTATTTGACTGTAGTGTCTGTAGGTAGACGGAAGACTCCTATATGTAATATTAAAGAGAAATTTTCAGGGAAGTAGACAACAAATAGGAAAAGTTGCAGGGTATGACCTACAAAAAAAAAAGGGAAAAAGTTCCAAAGGATGGTCTGCTGCAGGAAAGTTTCCGGAGAACCTGACGCAGGAAAAAGCTCCGAAGGAAGGCCTGCCACAGAAAAAGCACCAAAGGAGGGTCTGCTGCAGAAAAAGCTCCGAAGGAATGCCTGATGCAGGAGAAAGCTCCAGAGGAGAGTACACGGGTCGGCTGCTGAGATTTCAAGCCGAAGAAGATTCAAAACTTCGAAAAGATCACATTAAAAACCGCCACAATCAATGTTGGGAGATGAAATAGAAATCAGACAGAATGGAGGCAACTGCGGAGCGGGGTGAAGCAAATTAAGATGCAGAAAAGAAGCCAAAAGAGGAGTGCAATGGTGGCCTCGAGCAGCACAGCATGAGACAGGGAAAAGCGATGAATTTTCTCCAAGGGAAGCTCCATACCGAGGACAGTAGAAGAGGAGTCGACGCCTGTGCTAGAGATCCAGTTGTTGTCGCCGCCGCTGCAGAATATAGAGCATCTCCTGTTAAGTTGTTGCCCATGTCTTGGCTCGCACGCGCAATAACTTCTGTTGTACCCCAAAATGTTTGATGGGAACAACAAATGGCGCCTAAAACTTATTGTGATCTTTGCAGGGAGAGAACCTGCTGCCGCTACTGCTACTGGAAAGGAGAGTTACACCGAAGAAACCAATAGGGAGAATCTAGTGGAAAGAGATCTGCCAGTGAGTTTCCTGCAGCTAGACTAAAGAGTTCCAGTCAAGAACTTGCACACGGGAAGAATCTTGTAGTGAGTTTTCTAAGCTGCCTGATGCATTTGCTTTATGCTTCTTATAGTGTACAACTTATGCTTCTTACAAAGCTCCGACTTATGCTTCTTACAAAGCTCCTTCACTAAAGGAGCAATTCTCCTGAAACCACACCTTGGAAGTTGAGAAAACAAATGGTGCTCAGCCTAGAACTGCAGTCAACCATGAAACCAATCCATCCATGGTGAACATGTGATGTTAAACATCCCCATCGTTTGCTTCACAAATCAGTCGTTTCCCTTTGGATTTCCATTGTAGACAACGAAGAAGAAATGGTTTAGACAGAACTAAACATGTTGAATCCCACTTATAATGAAGCTAGCAATCATAAGCATTAGTCTTTCTCCCCATTTGGAAGAAAAGAAACAAGATAAGGATAACTTGTCCAAAAAATGACAATGCAAACAATCTTCTGGAAGCGAGAAGACACCTTCATAAATAGAACAAGACGCGTAGACTGGGCAAAGGGATTAAACCTTACTGAGAACATTACTAGATAGAAAGTTATGTGTCAGTGACAGAGCAAGAATCTTGAGATTGAATCGAAGGATAAGGTTCTCTCGTAGGAGGAAGGTAGGGTTTGATCGCAGAGAGTTTGAGGCCTGCGGGAGGGGTCACTAGCGGAGGAACAACCCGTAGAGAGCCGGTGGTGCCAGAGTATGCAAGAAGGGTTAGCAATGGATGAAATCTGGAAGGAAGGAAACCATCGACTGAAATCTGCAGAGAAGGAAGAAAACCGTCGGTTGAAGTATGTAAGGAAGGAGACCACCGACTGAAAAAAATTGCAAAGAAGAAGGAAGTTTCCTGTGTCTAGGGCTTGCAGGGAGAGGGTTTCCGCGGCTAGTTCCTGTAGGAAGGAAGCCTGTAAGGAGAGGAAGTTTCCGACAACTAAGTCCTGTAGGGAGAGGAAGTTTCTAGCACAAGAACTAAAAAGAAGAGGTGGACGAAGGGCGTGCACCCCAATAAATATCGCCAGGTGCAGAGAATAGAAAGTTTCCAGTTGTAGAAGACTTTAGGGCTTGTTTCAAGACTCTGATACCATATTGATTTTCAGAATTCAGCGAAATTATTTTATTGATATGAAAGGAATGTATAAATATACTTAGTTGAATCCTAGAATAAAAAAAATAAGAAAAAGAAAATAACATGAAAGGAAAAATATAACATATATCTCTAATTAATCAATTCATAATAATTACTTGGAGATAAAAGAAATAACATAAAAAAAGAAAGCCTAAAGTATGCAATCCAAGGAAATAAATCTAAAATAAGAAAGGAAAAAATCCAATCCAAAGAAATAAATTTAATTTCCATAGCTTCTAACTGGAACAAATTATTTTCTAATATAATTTCTAACATTAACTAAAAACCTTAAGCTTTTATTATTTTCAGGAAAACCTATTATAAAATAAGATGAATCCTATAAAGTATGTGCACGGAAACCAAGGAGATCAAACTGATAGATATTACAATTCAATTTTTATTTTTTATCAGTTGAAACAAAATTTAAAATCTGCATGAACTGTTTGTAAATTAAAGTTTTATGAAATAGAACGATTCCTTTGTTTTTTGGATTAGATTTAATTATGAAATGAAAATATCTAGATAGTTAATTCCCTCCATCTGACTGCTCATTCCCAGCTTGATATTCCAAGCTATCAGGATGGGTCGTGAGCAAAGTAGAAAAACTAACCCTGCCGTGTCCACAATTATAAGAGTTGGTTCCGTTGAAGATGACCTCTCCACATTTTCAAGATCCCAAAGCCTATGCTCAGCAACAGATGAATGGGCTTGTATCTGCAAGGAATAAAAGAGAATTCTAAAGCAAAATTGAAACAACAGATAGAAGCTCAAACTTCAAAGAAAAAACGAGAATTATTGAGCATTTCCATCAATTCATTGAATTGATCATCACCTTACCACCATAGAATTCACCAGATGACCAGCTCATTATAAGTTCGTGCATTCTGTACTGGACTGTAAGCATAGACATAACCTCCCCTCCATGCAGGTCAGCTAATCGTTCAAATAGGGTTCTTCCTAAGCCCATCTTCTCAGCTTCGGTACTTTGGATTGTAGGGGGGAGCTGGAGATGGTCTCCAGCAAGTATACACTTAGATCCCTGTAAATGACATAACATGCTCAGACGGATCACTGCTTGAGTCTTTGATTAGAAGAATTTGAAAAATAAAACAAGAAGCCATTCAGTACTATGAAAATGATGATACTTTAATTTCTCATGCAAAACATATGCCAACCTTCTGAGGACTAAATGAACTGAAAGCATGATCTAGGCACAAAATAGTAAGAAGAGTGCCCATATTAAAATATTTTCAATGAAAGCTAAAAAAGAATTTAAGGCCAACCTGCTGAAGGTAAAATATTTTTATCAAGTATAAATTGGCCTTCTACTTTTAGACAAGGTTTATTCAGAAAAATGTACTCATCAAACAAAACAAAACGAAAAAAAAAGAAGGATTCAATAGATTATGGCTATAAAAAATCATCAACATGAAACACTTCAACCACCTAAGAAAGTGATTTTTCAAATATCAATATTTAGCTCAAACTAGTTGCATACATATTAAACACAAGCAAACACAAAAGAACAAACAAATAAATAAAAGGTCATTAAATCAAGCATGAAGCCATTCAGCAATGTAGAGTAAAGGCTGCATAGATAAATCTTTAAATTCTTACAGTACTGATGTCATTTATACCAAGCACAAAACCTCAACATAAAGGAAGCAAAAAGTTAATGCCGGAGAAAAAATAAATCAACTGAATTTGGATAATGGCTAGTAAGAACACTAAGTTACATAAAAGTAAAAATAACAAGCTGTGATATGTTTGGGGACATCAAAAAAGGTCTAAACAATTTTAAAAGTAAAAAAAAAAGTTAAAGCCAAAAGCCATATAAATGTTTATTTCCATTTTTTAATAAAGTATTTGTGATGCCTCGCCTTCCTGAGTCTCTGACCCTGCATGGTATTCTCCGAGAGTTTTATGCTTCATAATCCTCAACAAACAAATTAAGGTGAAACATATACTTAGTAGATGTGTGGAAATATAGACTGAAGAAGGCTATGCAGATTAGGCTTTGTGGCTAAGGACCAGCAGCGAAGGAACACCTAATCACTATAGCTTGAGAATGATAGTGCAAACACCAAATCACAAGTTAAGAATTTCTTCTCTCCCATTGGAGCTGGCACACTAAGGTATATGTTCTCAATCCAACACTAGAATGTCCTTTTTTGGCAGCATTTTAGAGAATGGTGATGGTTGATCATCCTAATCGGATTTCAGCTCAAGTTGCTGGTGGAAAATTGGTTTCCTCGCCTCAGGATCCCAACTCTTTGATACAATTGGGTAATTTCCAGATGGTTCCTAAAGCCCTTTTCTCCGCTCATACTGCTACAAAATCAGCGGATCTTTTATTTTTTTTTTTCTTCTAGAGATGAGAGTCAATCTATGAAAAGAAATTTAATTAGGCAATAGTAGATAAATTTGCTTTTGGTCATCCAAACTTGGAAGGTATAAAATAGTTATCTGTTGGTTTGAAGTATGTTCACTTTCATTTGGCTTTTTTTATGGCAAACACTGGTTCACTAGAGTTGAAAATGATTATAACTATATGAAGATCTTCTCATATTAGTTTTAAACCCAAAGTTCGATCATATGATAGAATCTACTATCTCGATGATGTTGACTGTATTTCCTAATTTTCCAGTACATGTAATGGATCATCTACTATTTTTCATTTGCATTTGTTTTTGGTCATCCCCTTACAATAGATGCCAGCACTACTTAGTTTATGAGGCCATCAATGGCCAAATTTTTGGTGTAAATGCATATTATATCAAGTTTTTCTAAGGAAATTTTAATTTCAGAACAAAATGATATTCTTAAACGAGAGATGCTTTTGGATAATTTACTAATTAATTTTTAATTTTGATTTAAGCATTGGCAATTTTGTGGCACACCTTGGACAAAGGAGAGCTTTTAACAAATCCCCTTTGGAAACAAATAAAATTTTTGTGAGTCGGAGAATGTCTTCCGATATTTCCCCATTGTAATAAGGTGAATGTTAATATGCTAAGTTAGAAGTTATATTAGAAGTTAATTTATTCTTATTAAAAGTTATGAGTATCAGATTTATTTCCTATAATTGGATTTATTTCCTTTCTTATTTTAGATTTATTTCCTTTCCTAAGTTTTCCTATTTTATGTCGTTTATTTTCTCTCCAAGTAATTATTATAAATTAATTAATTAGAGATATAAGAGTTATATCTTTTCTTTTATGTTATTTCCTTTTTTTTTTCCTATTCTAAATTCATGTAAGGGCATTTATACCCATACCCCCTTTTCATATCAATAAACTAATTCTATTGAATTTTAAATCTCTACATGGTAGCAGAGTCTTGAAACAAACCCTAGAGTTTGTTACCGCCAGAAACTTCCTATTCCCTGCAGCTGACAATCTTTGTCGTGCTGCTGGCTCTTCCTCTGCCTCCTCCTTTTTAATTTTTTTGTCGGGAACTTCGTCTCCCTACAGGTCCCACGGCCAGAATTTCCTCTTGCAGCCTTTCCTGCCACCGAAATTCCCTCAAGCAGCCATAAATCCTCTCTATCGGCTGGAAAACTTCCTACAGGCCGCAAACTCCTGCAAGCTTCCTTATTGGAGATGCATCATCCAACAATCTTTCAGTTGGATCCGGATGTCCTTCCCGTCGCTATTGAAATTCCTACATTCCAAGCCTTGGTTAATTTCTCTATGTTCTTCCAGTCGGATCCGTGTTCTAGAGTTAAGAATGGCAATGAAGAGGAGTGTTAGCAATCCAAAAGACGCAAATTTAAAGGGAAATAGGGTGTTCGTTAGGGCAAAATTGAACGTTACTCTCGATGACAACCTCAAGATCACTGACGATACCAGGTCTAGGACTGTCATTCCCACTATCACTTACTTTAGGGAGCACAAAACCAAGATCATTCTCTGCAGTCATCTGGGCCGCCCTAAAGGTGTCACTCTAAAATACAGCTTGAAGCCTCGCGTGCCTAGAATATCAGAACTACTATCATTGGCGAGGAAGTGGAGACCATGGTTGTTGCATTACCAGATGGCGATGAAGTCCTCCTCGAGAATGTGAAATTCTATAAGGAAGAAGAGAAGAATAGAGTTTGCAAAGAAACTTGTTGATCTCTATGTCAATGATGCCTTTGGACTGCTCACAGAGCTCATGTTTCAATAAAGGGAGTTACAAAATACTTGAAACTTAGTGTTGTTGGCTTACTCATGTAGAAGAAACTTGACTACATTGTCGGGGTTGTTGTGAAGCCGAAGCGGCCATTTGCTACCATTGTTGGTAGTTCAAATGTTCTCTTAGAGCAAGTTGATATTCTTCTTCTTGGAGGAGGAATGATTTTCACATTCTACAAAACAAAAGAACATGGTGTTGGTTCCTCTCTTGTTGAGGGAGACAAAGTTGGTCTAGCTGAAAAGGAATAAAACTCCTATTACCCTATAATGTCATTGTGGCAGACAAGTTTGCAGCTGATGCCGTCAACAAGGTTGTGCTAGCATTTGTCATCCGTAATGGTTGGATGGGCCTTGACATTGGACCAGATTCTCTTGAGACATTCAAGGCAACTCTTGACAACGCTAACACTATTATTGGGAATGGCCCATGGGTGTCTTTGAGTTTGAGAAGTTCTCTTTCGGAATAAATGCCATTGCCCAGAAATTGGTCGAGCTTAGAAAAAAAGGTGTCAAAACCATCATCATCAGTGGCAACATCGTTGCTGTCGTGGAGAAAGTCGGGCTTGTTGTTAAGATAAGCCACATCTCAACAAGCGGTGGTGCGAGCTTGGAAACTCGGGAAGGACAATCACTGTCAGGTGTTTTTTCTTTTTTTTCCTACAGCAAGCCCTCCTCTAGAGCACTCTTACCGAGCTATTTATGCAGCAGACCCTTCTCCAAAATATTTTCCCGTCGCAGCCCTACCTCCGAAGCTTTTTACCTGCAACAGACCCTTCTCCCGATACTTTTCCTGCAGCAAACCCTCCTCCAGAGTTTTTTTTCCTGCAGCAGTCCTACCTCTGTAGTTTTTTCTTGCAGTAGGCACTCCTCCAGAATTTTTTTCCTTATAGACCATGCCCTGCAGCTTTTCCTGTGGGTTGTTTACATCCCTGCAAACTTTCCTGTAACATTACCTCCAGAAGCCTTCTTCTTATCTATACACACTGCAGAAATTGCAGTCAGATGCAACCGCAATCACCTAAAAATCTCCCTAAATGCTTTCGGGGTTAACTACCAAGTACGAGAAGAATTTCATTCAAGTTCTACCTCACAAAGAATCTTCCTCGCCCATTGTTTCATATTTTCAAATCCAAGTTGAGTATGGTTGTCAACAATATTTCAGCTTGAGGGGGAGTGTTAGAAGTTATATGAAGAAATAATTTATTCTTGTTAAAAATTATGAGGATTAGATTTATTTCCTTGGATTGGATTTACTTCTTTTCCTATTTTAAATTTATTTCCTTCCCTATTTTAGGCTTTCCTATGTTGTGTTGTTTCCTTTATCTCCAAGAAATTATTATGAGTTAATTAATTGAAGATATGGGTGTTACATCTTTCTTTTCATATTATTTCTTTTTTTTTGTCTTTCCTATTCTAGAATTCATGTAAGGGTATTTATACCCTCCTTTCATATCAATAAACAGCTGAATTCTGAAAATCTAAATGCTACTTGAATCTGGTTTGCCTACCAACGAGTTCAATAATAATGGGTTTGGTTTTAATTGTTCAACCGCTAATGTTAATTCAAATATGCCTTGTTTGGTTTTAGTCCAAGCTTTCTCACAAGCAGAGTAAGAAATTTATGGACCCCAATCCATCCACCTTTATTAGCATTTCTATTAATATTCATTTAAGTGGTAGTTATTAATATATTTCTTTCGGCTCAAACATCATTGATTATTTCTACTTTTCTCTGTGAGGATAGTGACAAGTTGTCAGCTCTAAACCAAAAGATGATCGTACCATCTTAGAACTTCATCCCGGCCATCAAGAGAAAAGGACATTCATAAACAAAGCATAAATGATTTGCCCCTCTATACAAGTGCTCGCTCTCCTCCGAACAACCATTATCAATTTTAATAAAAAATACCCTAAGGTGCTCAAGTCTACATTGCAAGCCTCTAAACTAAATAGTAAAAACGGCTGAAGGTGAATGTGGTAATTTTATGAGTTTAAAAACTCTACCATACATGGATGCTAGCAAAACAAACCTTTAACAAAGCAACCCAGCATGCTGCCTCAAGGGCCTGAGCAGCTTCGTCAATTACAACTAAATCAAACATAATTTTATCCAATTGGTGAGAAGCAGCACCGGTTAATGTTGTTAGAACAACGTCTGCATTTTTTATAACATCTGTGACTGCTAATTGTTGTCTTCTTCTCTCTTCTTTAGAAAGTGTCCTCAGCTCTTTCCTGATATCCCTCCTCAAATTCCTGTCCTTGGACTTCAGCATCTTCTCATTCAAAACCTGACAACAGAATCCCATTAAGATGAAAGGGCATTTACATACATACCGCTCAATTATATGTAATTACTATGTATCTACATAGCTAACACCTAAACTTTACTTTTTACATTTATAACAGCCAAATATTTCATATCACATCAAAAATACCACAATTTTAAACATTAAAAAGTGAAATACACCCTTTTATGCATAGTCAAGGGGGGTATGTAAATGCATAGGAATTAAGTGGTATGAATAAAAATTTTCAATGACAGAAAATCTCAGACCCACAGATATCTGGTATAAAAGACACGCAGATAAATTTAAACCATTTGGAAATGCATCACGCAGGATTCCAACACGTTCATGACCACTCACCAATAAAGCATAAGGCACCCTAAATTTTTAATGCCTTTATATATAATCTGTACGTATTAACAAGCCTTGGTCATTTGATGTTTTAACAGTAAAAAAATCTATTGGTGCGTCTGCAAATATTTAAATTAGTTCATGTGCCTCTAATAAAAAAAATTTTAGTCCCCGCTGCTAGTTGCAGCAAAATATTTGGTATCACAAACAAAACAAAGCAGAGTGTCGTCTCCTAGAAATGCTAAAAAAAATAATGGAATTAAAATTACCTTCATTTCCTTGCGAATGTCCTTTGCCAGGGTATTGTTATCCCCTCTTAGAACCTGCAAATGACATAGATATATATGATTAAAAATAAGGAAGAATTGATACAGTAAGAAAATTAATAAAAAGCAGATTAACATTTTATGCATACAATAGTTAATCATGCCAAATAGAATTTAATTGTTTTGTATAAGTCTTATATGAAATCCAATAAATTTAAAATTTGAGATGGTTGTAATTTAGACCTCTTT